AGCACCAACCTCCAGTTCATTGTTGGGGCAGCGCGCAAATGGGATGCGTGCCTGGAAAACGGCGTGCAATGAGACAGCCCATCAGATGGCCGACGGCCCATGGTTGCCATTCTTGTCAACCGACTTGGGCGGGGCAGCGTTTGGCTAAGCTGCCGTCAATCGATGTTCGGACGCCTTCTGGAGTCAATCCACGTGGCAGAAGACGACCTGGTGCCGTGCAGCCCACACAGCCCTCATGGGCTTGGGCATCCTTGAGTGGACTCAGGTAGCCGTGTGGGAGATGTGGGCTCGGCAAGTCGACCAGCGGGGAGGGCACGCGCTCTTTCAGTTTGTGGGGTGAGAGGGTGCTGGAGGCATTGGAGCGCCCCACACCAGATTCCTGAGTCGGTTGGACCGCGGACCATGCCGCCACTGGGATCCTCGCCGGGGCATCTTCACCAACGCGGACCTTCGGCGCAACCAGGTACTCGGAGAGCCAACTCACGAACCCCACTCAACTCGCATGATCGGCCAGTCGTGCCAGGCGCTCTTCGGCGTGGTGTGATGCCCCATAGGAATCGCCACTACCTTCCGGGCTGGTGGCAGCGCCGTGCAGTGCGGGACACGTGCGCCTGGCTGGGGGGCGAATGATACACGTCAGGGTCACACCACCTTCGAACCACATGCCTCGCGCCGCCGTGTCTCTATTAAGTGCTGCTCCATATTTTTGTGCAACACACTGGAGACGTACGAACTACAGCACAGATTTCATGTGTCAACCCGTTTGGATCCACCCTGGAAATGGCGCCAAATGGTACCACCATTTGAGTTCGTTCGGTCAACGCCTGCCCTCACACTGGGCGCTTGCGCTTTCTCCAAATGGTTATGTCATGGTCAAATTGAATACTGGCCATGATGGTTCTGCGCAACTCGGCTCCTTAGGCCGCTGTGTGGCTTTGCGGCATAATGATGCGACACAGTGCTATCCTTTGCAAAGCCACTGAAACAATCAGCCGATGCTCTCCTTTGGAGAAATGGTAGAGGACATTGTTTCGGAAACAGAATTACGAACTTTGGGAGTATTGGTGGGCGCAGAATGGCCTGCGCTTTTGCGAAATTCCATTGCCTTGCAGAGCCAGTTCGGGCGTCCAAAAGCCGCATCGTGGCTAGCAGAAACTTTGGCCATCAGGGCCGCCGACACCGTGAAAAAAAGCTATCAGCGGCTTCAGTGCGAAGCCAACTGCATTCAAGGTATTCAATCTGCCGTTCTCTTTGATTCCGATACGTTTCCTTCCCCAATGTGGTTCGAAATTGATGAACACGAGAGCATGCGATGCTTCGTGCCCTCGGGAAGCGACATTACGAGGAAACGCGTCACGACTAGGTCAGCAGCTGCCGTGGTCGGCAAGTGCAAAATTGTCAACCTTCAAGCGGTGGTCAAAACAAAATAACAGGTGTGCTTTGGGCAGCGACGACAAACGCAGCGGATACAGGGCGCCGCTGTCAGCTTTAATTGACAGCTCAGTCCAGTGCCAATAAGAAATTGGTTTCTTTTACGCTTGAATTGACCCAGCCGCTAGTGGACAATGATGTTGGAGAAGAGAAGCACACCAGCGGTGTGTGTGTCCAGGACATTACCGAATCCTCGATATCTGCACAGCATCCTTGTCTTTTACACCAAGATTATGTACCATAAATGGCGGCCATGGCCAGGATATGGGTCCTCCTGTCTTGGATACGGCTATATACTGCCACAATATCCAGGATACGGATGCCTCGCACTCCATTCTTGCCACTGTGATGTCACGTTGAATCAAACTGATGCCATCACAGTGATTGCAATGACATAATAGTAGCTGTGATCAATTATTATCAATTATTGTCCACTGCCATCTCAACAATGATGTTGGAACCAAAGTGCCTATATCCAGGATATGGCTGTGGATGTGGCGCTCCACAGACTAGCATGGCAGTGAATATTGATTGCGCTGTGGATTTCACTTTGCTTCAATACAGCCTTAACTACCAACTGGGACTTGAGAGCTGAAATCGCCTATGCTCAGGGTTGCAAATATGTTTATTTCCTTCAGACCAAGATACAGTGTTTGAAATTATTGCAATGCTATCGCATGAGTAGCATACCTGTGTCTGCGAACAGTTCCAAGGAACCGATCTGAGTGCTCAGCGCTGCCTTCATTTTGGAGAACTCCCTGGGCGGATCACCTTCGCTGCAGATCTGAAAAAGATTCGTGAACTTGCAGCGCAATCCAGAATTCCACACGGGGGCATCCATGGACTTTGCGTCCCAAACAAGCTGCATTTTGCATGGAATTTCCGTGGCCGTAATCCCCCATAGAGGTAAGTTGCAACTTACGCTTCGCAGAAGCTGCAAATCCAGCAATGGAAATGCGTGACAAACGCGAATGCAGATTGCATCGTGCAGAAACCTGAGCTGTCTCTGGCTCATAGTGCACTGGAGAAATCACACCAGCAACGTATGGACAAATACCTAAAAGTTTCAAGACGGCATTTCCAAAAGTTTTCGCAACGATTTGTCAGGGGTAGCCTCGTTTGAGAAGGCGCTTTTGATTTGGATTGATTTCGACGGAAAATCCATCACTTATCCTTGCAACCGCACTCGCCAAGGTGGCACACACAAACACGCGTTTTCGATATTACAAACATAGGCTTGTAAGCAAGGTCTTAGTGGTAATGCCACAAACGCATCCAAACAGTATTGGAAAATCTTTGGTGCCCGTCGTGATGTCTCACATCCAATTATTTGCCCAGGTTGTGGTACGTTTGCCACCGACTTCAGTAGCAAGTGCACGCTGGTGGCAGCCAGCTCAAAAACAAACTGCCTCGTGGTGATATGTGCAGCGTATTGACTAGCGTACGTGCGGTGATATCTGTGACCTGGCGGTCGTCGTTTTGAACTTCAAAGGTGACCTCGTTAGCAGACCCGTCAGTTCATATTCAGTTCGCATCACTCACCCTCAGAAGCCCCAGAAGCACGAGCTTGCCCGCAATAGTCCTTTGATTGCACTGAAAAACTATAGCCATTCTTTTGAAGAAAATCCTTTTCCAGCATAAGATTTTCTGTTAATGTGCTCGAGCAGGTATTTATCTGACAGGTGCAGCCCGCTTGTTCCAAGTTTTGAATTGCCGTGGATTCTATGGACGCTTAGGCAGCAACCACAAGTGTTAGTTTAGAGAGTCAATACTGTTTGCAACGCAAAATCCAGCCGCTCTTCTCAGTGCAAGTGCAATATTATTACTTAGCAGCGAAATCATGTATTGCCTCGCTTACCTTTCAGCATAAAAAGCGCAGATCTGCACATCCGATGGCTCATACTCATGGCGAAACTGTGCCTGTAATGTTCATTGAAAAATCTGTGCAGTAAAGCTGTCGTTCTGCAACGTTCAGGCAGAGCATTTGCTTCGAGCCTGATCTTTTGGCTTAGAGCCTTGATCTCCATGTTGCTGCTGACAACGAGGGCAGAAGATCTGCATCAGGTCGGTAGCGAAGTCTGCAACAATGTACTATAGAAATCTCCCTTGTTGCAATGTATGTCAAGATGTACTAAAGCGGGTTTTCCTCACTCGATGCTTGCGCAAATGTTAATTGTCCGTACATTCAAATACAGACTTGCGTTTTACGCCGTAAAAGCTGACCGTATCTGCGTTTTCAGGCACGCAAATAGTCTTTACGTTTTACCGCATGAAAACGCGCAAAAATACGTACATGCAATGTAAATACACTCCCGTATGCAAAAATACAGTGGGTGATTGATAGGCGGGAGGACTGATCATTGCACGCGACTTTCATCGTCTAGCCTGGGTGCCACAGCAAGCCGCAAAACGTAAATACAGCCGTCAAATGGCCCCTTTTGCAAATTTGTGTTTTGGCCATAAAACCGCAAGCACCAAAACGCAAACATCAAAACGAAAAGATAAACACAAAAGGCGAGCCTGTCCAAATGTAATCTACACGGTATTGGATCCTTTAAACCTTTGAAGCAATGCCGCGTTCAATGTCACAAATTATGGCTGGTAAAGATTTTGTTTGCAGCATACACAGCGAAAGAAACAAAAATAGAGTGACAAGCTCGTGAACAACTCAAAACAAATGGCCGTTGGCCCAGAACACAAAAGGAGAATTATCCAATCAATAGACGCCAGGAACAAATATCCCACAATAAAAAGATGAGAAAAAAAACTGTATTTGATTCAAGGCAGAATAGTTACAAAAGAAAAGAATAAGAAATCGAAGAAGACCAAACAGCGCGCCAGCAACTTGGCGCTTCCTTTCTGCAATAAATCCAATAAAAACTGTCAGGAACTCAACATTACGGAATCGGCACCACCTTCGCAATTTCGAGATCGAAGGCAGCTTGCACAAAGCGCTTGGTAACTTCATCAAAACGCAAACGCGCTCTGAAGCACATGGTGGAATGAAGACATAGCCCAGTTCTCGACTGAGGATGCAGAGAAGGGGGCAAGGCCGTGAGGCAACGTGTACCACCGTGTACCACCGGCCACTCAGGCGCACCTCTTGTAACCGTCTGATCACTGGCATTCTTGGCCTCGTCGCGCACACTTACTCGTGCGAACGCTAGCGTTAGACTGCACCCACGGCAGGCCCCGACATCGAAGGTCTGGCTGATGTCCTCTTCCCACCTCGCAGGTAACGGAGATAGTCTTCTTGGTGTTCCGACTTCCTCTCACGACGATAACAGCCGCTTTGGCCAGCCCCGTAGAAGAGTGCCCATTAACTGCTCTTCTAACGACATGGAGAGCAGTTGAAGCCCCATTAAGCCTGCTAGGTACCAAGGCTGCCTGGGAGGGGTCGGCAGGCGCGCTGGTCTGACAAGAGACATCCGATCCCAAGCCACAAATATATCCTCACTCGCTGCGTTCCGCTCCCATTGCAAAAAAGCAGCACCTTGGAAGTGACGTGCTCGCGCCGCTGCGAAGAACATCAGCCCCGGTAGAGTAGGTTGCACTAAACCGCTTTTTCGATGACGCCATTCACCTTGACGATAGCAAATGCGATCGTTGTGTTTGGGGATGCCAAAAGCGGCAAGCTGACAAATAACTACGATCATGCAGGTATAATTGCCTTGAACAAAATGCACGGAAAATTGGCATCGAAATATATGTGCGTAAGCAAGCTTGGAAGCGCATATGTCGAAAATGACTAATCATATGCCACGAATGCGCAATTGCGAACCATAGCTCTGTATTTGATGTTGAATTTCTTCCTCCCGTATTGTTTTGCTGCATATTAAATGGCTTCTATGGAAATCAGATCTCCTCTCCGTGGAGATTCTCGCATTGACACTGCATAGTTTAAGTGAAATAGGTGCGCGGCTTGCTGCATTAGAAAAAAGGCTTGATTTCGATCAATGCACTTCACTTAAATGGGCAATACTCAGGATGACGTGACTTTCGTTGTTGCGCCCGCCAGGGCGGCTGGCAGCCAATTCCAGAAGGTAGTTTCCCCACTCTCGTGAGCATCAGGGGAAGAGGAAGGGAGCACATCTGCTTTGGTACTGTTATCAGAGAGTACTACATTCTGTCATCAGCAGAATGTGTGGAGATCGTGGGACCCAACCCTATTGTCATCATTGGACTGCATGGCAGAGATGACGATCGCAGCCAGCCCGGCGTGGAGGTGAGACAGCTGGGCCTGGCTATCTTCCGCAGCAGACTATGCGAGTCCACCGTTGGAAATCCCTGGAAACCATGTGCACGCGCTTGCGGATATCACAAGAAAAAAAGGGCTAAACAGCAGGTGCTCAAATGTGTACAAAGTTTATGGCTTCAGTTTCCTTTTGTGTCCTTAGCGTGCAGAATATTGATAAATGCATTTCATATGTGTTCGGAAAAAGTGTTATTTTATTCCTTTGCTTCAGTGTATAGCCTGTTTACAAAAACGCAATATAAATTTACAGCGTGCATAGCACGATACAATGCGTTTCTGGTTATTCTGACGAGTAAAATGTAATAAATTGGTGGTCGTGAAGCAGTTGGCAGCAATAGTGGAAGCTTTTCTTTTTAACCTTTGGGTCTTTCCAGAGGAAATATGAATTGCGGATGTCAGATGGGGTGGGGTGGGGAATTTGGGGCACTATGCTGACCAGCAACAACACGTAGCTCCGCTGCGATCTTCATTATCACTGAAAGGATAGCTGATTTGGGGATTTTCTGCACGAAATTGTCAGTCCCATATTTGTACTTACTTCTTTCCAAAAGGTTGTGTCGCATCTGTAATTTGCACAAGCCGAGATCAAAATATGCGGGCCAGAAAAACTCTCCAAAACGACATGGATGCGCCATATCAAGAGCTGCTTAAGGAGCCATTTAACATGGCAAACGGCGGTCCCGTTCTTGCGACATGTTGACTGCAGCTGAACCGCGGTTTTGCATTTTGTCGGGACTTAGAACAGTTCATAGTGGACTTGCATTGCCCTTGAGAAGAGGTGGATCCACCTTGCCTATTTCTAGAAAAACATTGTGCCTTGTTGGCTTGGTTTGTGTCAAGAATGCTGCTTGATTCCAAGCAGAATCGATGAGGAAAAGGAAGTAGTTTAGTACAGAATTTGGGGCGTCAACAAGGACCATGTAAAGGCTGAAGCCAATGTCCAATAGACACCTCAATCTGTGACAGAACATCCACCAGGCTGGATTCCCAATCTCAGGAAGGTTGTTGGTATCAAAAATAGGTTCTGTTTCGAGGGAGAAACGGCCAAGTGTCGAGAATCAAATTTTTGGAAACTCGTTTAGCATACTGGTACAATCAATGAGCAAAAACATGGTAATGTTGATATAAATATTCTTGAAAGGGCGTTGTGGTGCCCATTAGTTGTCTTCAAACAGTTCCCCATGAATTTGAGGGGAACGGATTAGGATATTTGGTAATAAGGTCAGCGCAACAATGGGGGGGATTGAGAACCTGCATAGAGCTTGGCAGGGGCATTTTTCGATAGACTTGCAAATGTCGTGTTCTACGGTGATGAATAATGTAACCGAGGCCCACATCAACCCAAAACCGACCAAGCAAACCGAATGTGGTGACGGATTGACTGATAGTGTCGATTCTGCGAAGTTACAGCAAAAATTAAAGATGCGCCACGACTTTTGAAATGGAAGTCACGAGCAGAAAACAGTTTGTTTGCGATGCCAACCACGATGCAATTTGACACAGATCGATGCCATCGAAGCCCCTTTCATACCATTGCAAAGGTTGTGACGGCGCCACTTCGTGCCAAAATAGCATCGCAGTTGGCATAGCAAACATGACGATTTATGGTAGTGGGTAGTGCATAATTTTGTGTCAACTGAAGCACATTTGCACGCAGAAACAACAAGCTTGACATCAACAGTCTGCAGACCACAGGCATTTGTGCATCCCCTTTTGTGTACGGCCTTTGGAATATTCTATTAACTTATTATGTGACCTTAGAAAAAATGTGTTTATGTGTGTGTGTGTGTGTGTGATGTATTGTGTGTGTGTGTGTGTGATTATTTACTGCTACAGGACCACAGACGCTTTGTGGAAATTTTTGCATTTGTATCTTTATGTTTCCATTCGCACTCTTTGCTTTCTTTGCAACTGTGGTGCCGTAGTTATGCATGCGTTGCACGATTCTTCACATGACACATGCGGCTCAACTTGAATTCCCATGTTATGGCAATCAATCAGATGTCATCTGGCAGGAGCGACGGGCTGAGAGGGCGTATGTACATCCACACTGGAACGGAAATTTCGATGAAGGATATGACATCGCCCTGTTCAAGCTTCCGCGACCCGTCGGTGGCCAATTTCCTTCCATTGGAGGTCCGAGCACAAAAATTTCAAACAGAGTGCTGTACGGATTTGGCCTCAATGGCGTCGTTCAGGTGGCCGAATTCGAAGCGATCGAGGAGGGGCCTTGCCCTCGCCTGTCCACTATGGGCAACAACAGCTTCTGCATTCACTCCAAAGGCGCAAATATGTATGCAGGTATACACATGGACAAAACCTGGTTGAACTGTCCCAATTTCTTAGAGTGCTCTGCTAGGCCCAGCTTTCCAATATCATGCAATGGCGAGACAGTGCGAATTCACAACTTTTGTTGACCTATCATACTTTTTCTGCTTTTCCTTCGATCTTTTGTCGCCAAAAGTTCTGTATTGCATGCCAAAGACGTTCTGCGTCAGTCTCTTGAGAATGCAACATACTTGTGACGATGGCAAAGCAGCAAGCCGTGCATGCAAGTAAAATGCGAACACGATCGGTCATGCAGAGCAGCAAGAGCGATTTCGTGAATACTCGTGAATACTACTAACTTCTGCGTTGAAAAATTGTCACTATGTGGATTCCTTTAGCACCGTTTGTACTTAGATTTTGTGTGATGCGTCCTTTGCATTTTTCTCATGGGCTTGACTATCGTGAGCACACTCAATTTGGTCAGGCTGTTCTGGCGGCCCAGTCATTGTGATAGAGGGCAAGAAGGACGCGAATATTTTCGAAGTGAAGCAGACCGATATTGCCGTCGTCGGAGTTGTCTCCTACGCCAATCATTCGTCCCTCAGCGACAGCGGAGTGGGGTGCACTCCAACGGAGAAAACTGTTCAGTGGATCAACAGCATTACGTCACCAAAGGCGAGTGCCAGCATAGCAGGCTTGGGAGTTGCAAGGATGACATCAGATTTCATTGAGCAGCAATTTGTGCGAAATGATATGTGCATTTCCCAAATTGTTCTGCGATTAAATTTTCGTTTTCTGATGGATTTTCCACAAGACTTCTCAATTATCTCTGCTTAGCCTGCCACTTAAGAATTGCTCCAATGGGTACGTTTATTCCAGCGATTTGCGCCCCAGTGGAATATATAATCAAAGGTCTTGCATTTGCATATGAGCAATGGGACTCAAAATTTCGATTGATAGCAATAACATCGCTGCGGCGGCAGACAGCTTTCTACTGAAGATGACTTCGCGATGTGGGATTTTGCGCCATGATTCCACATGCTTGATATACAAACAGTGCTTGTTTTCCCCATGCTTATGGTACGTCATTTCATAATGCAGAAAGTGGGGGTTGTTTCTGCCATTAAAGGGAGAATTGCATTTATGAACAAAAGCAAAAGGATGATTGGTGGCGTTTAACAATATGGCTCCCCGGTACTCTTGTGGTGATGCCTTTCTCACCATTTTCAATGCAACTAACTTCTTTACCGCCTGTGGCCTAATTTTTGCATTGTTGTATGTCGATTGATTCAGGGACTCTTGAATACCTACATCCACCGCAGTGGAGTAGGTGAGCGAAATGACGTAAATCTGTATTTATACTACTCCTCGAGCATTCCTTCGTTGTTTTAGGAATTTGAATTTCAATGGGCAAAAATCGTGCATGAATCACCACATATTGCTGCAAGGTCAAATACACCTTTGTGAATTGTTCTAAACAATTGACGCTAAACAATGATCTCCGATCGTCGGTCGTTTGGGTGTGCAGGTAGAATTTGGAGCGGCATTTCAGCATGGGCACAGTCGCTGGGTTTTTCGTTGGGAACGAATTAAATCTGCCGAGCAATCCGAAGAACACCAACACGTAAGTTGTGCTGTACATCAATGCACGTATATAGGATGCCACACTCGATGAAAGTATGTTGAAGATTCCATTTCCATAATTTAAACCACATTTGTTATACGTACGCCAATGCCGATAATATCATCGTTAAATCGTAACGAAGTAACCCTTTTACGAGAGAGGTTGTATACATATCAGTATTTTGCAGTAGTTTTTTGTGCCTCGTCTTTCTGAGAGACACTTAATGGCGCTTTAACTGCTCTTGAAAGCTTGCGACGTCCTGCGCAAGGGCGAGCGAATGTAGAGCGCCCTTCATAATTTATCAGTATTTTGTACGCAGAAATTATTTCTCATACCATATCCTCCGAAATTGTCGGCACCACACCACAGTGGTGTGGCGCATCCCTAGAGGGCCTTGGAAACGTTGCTGCTTTCAGAAGTAAAGTAATTATCACATGACGTTATTCATATCCACCAAAAACTGAAGGAATGAACATGAATCTGCCAGACGAAAGACAATGCAATCGTTGAAGCATGAAGCAATGTGGTGAGCAGTCTCAGAGGGAAAGCGAACTCCCTGATGAAATCCCATCTATAAAACCGTTATTTCGCAAGGTATAATCATCTGGCAGATTTCCCCTGCGTTTTTTCGCTGTTCGATCTCGATCTCAGCAGAGAGACGTGACATGACCAATGTTTCAAAATTATAAGGTTGCCTGTAAGCATTCCCACTTATTCAGTCGCTCACTCAGACTCTGTTCATTCCTTGTCACCCGTTGCACTAGGAAAAATAGGGACAAACAACACTTGTTCAAACGTGTACAAAGTTTACGGGTTTGGGCTTTTTTGGGGTTCTTAGCTTTCAGAACTTCGATGAAATGTGTTTTACGTGTGTTCGCAAAAGTGTTATCGGTCCATTTTTTGCTAGTATTGTGGGCGACTTTGAGAATGCTTTCTCTCAGAATTTTAATTAATGTTGTTTATGCCATGGGACATGATTTGGACGTCTTGATATGTAGCTTTCGAAAAGTTTGAGTATCCACGGTGCTCACAATTATCGCCCTCATGGTTGCTCCGTGTCCGTGTTCCTGTGAACGCAACACGAAAAAAAAGACACAGCACCAGTGACGAAAATGGCACTTATCGATATTCGTTGGTTTTCGCGATGCCATGCTCAAAACCTTGAAGTTCCCGTATCTGAACAGATTAAGCATATATCGTGGGGCTGATAATTTGTTTTCAGACATCCTGCACTTTGTCATTGCGAGCAAATCGCACGTGAACACGTCAAATTACCAGTTTCCGCGCATTGGTCACATTAACAGTTTGCGCGCCCATGAATACAAATCATAATACAGGATAAGAGTTTTTAATTGTGTCCATGCATTCACTCTTGCTTATAAATTAATGTGATCCACAGCACCAGAAGGAACACATAAACTACGAACACATCGTCGTCTTCTCTCGTGGCGAAGCTGGTCACATGCGATCCGCCTTGAAAATGACGAAATCCAAATTTTTCCAGTCGCGCTTGCGCGCTGTCCGGCGGATAGTTTGCTGGAGCCAAAACTCGTTACGTTTTGCTCTCCGCCATGCGCGGGGCCTTGATGCTGACGTCAATCTGGCGTTCCATTATATCTTGTCTACTAGAAGCCCATTACAGTGCTTTGTCCGGGGAATGTCCACATCCTTATACACCTCAGTTTGCTATGAAGCCAAGACTGACTCTGATTGTGCGTGTCTGCGCGTTAGATTTTGCAGCTGCAGTTGATTCGGTACGCGGAACTTGGGCTCCAACGCAACAATTACCTCTTGCTTGCAAGCTTCCAGGTCTGAGTGCCATTGTATGAGGATTTTTTCCTGGCCAATCATTTGGGAGATGAAAGAGGAGAAAAATATGTAACACTATGTACTAGTGGACGCTTTTATGACAGTCTTCTGGTGCGTCTCGATGTCCCATCCATGGCGTTGCCGCGGATGAACTATTGGCGAGTTCCTTGGCTGGGGCTGAGCATTCCCTGGGAGAACCCACTCGCGTCTTCGCGTGTCCTACACAGACCGCAGATTTTACGATTCACGTAATCCTTTATGCGTCTTGAATATTCCAACAAACTCGTAGTTAAAGGGCCGAATATATACGGTAAGGAAAAAACTTTCCATTACTGTTCCAGACTGCATTCAAACAAAAAATGCGGTGTCATCTTGCAATTTTTCAATCCATTTTCCCCAATGAAAGGGATCATTGGACCTTCTACCTTATAAAATATCTTTAACGCTGCTCACATGTGAAGCAAGAGTCATCACATACACCCCTTTTATGCCCCCTCCCTTTCACTACCTCAGTGCCGTGTAACAAAGCATGTGAACGACCCAAAGGTTCCTTTCCCGTCTTTCCAAATTTTCCCTTGAAATGCAGGAAAGGCGCAGCAGGAAAAACGACAAAGCTCGTATGCGCAACGCCAACAAGAACTTAACTTTAGTGCATTCTCGCCAATGCTGTATGCACGTAATTTTCTGTCTGCGTATTTTTCTATTTGGCTTTTTGTTCCTTACATTTTCTTTTAACTCACTGTTCGGGGCGCGTGCATCACCATGTTTGCTGTCGCCTTGTGCCTAGTGACGTGCATATGGAAATCACTCCTATCCATATTTTGCCATTCCTAGATTACTACACAATGCGCAATTAGATCCCTCCACAAAGCGTCCTTGCACCGCTCGCCCTAATATTCGGCCACAACGTGGTCGACTGTGGGGGAATAGTGCACGTTTTCATATGTAACGCGGGTGCACACGTGCATATGTTCTTGACTTTTGCTGAATCACCCTCATCAGACAGCTACCGTGATTAATTTCATCACCCTGATTCCAAACTTACCTGAGATGTAATGTGAAAGCGCTGACCACACATTAAAACTATATCTCATGTACACACGAGAAGTGAATTTACCAGCGCACATTATCTTACATTTAGAAGCGCAATGTGGATGCACACACGCAAACTCACATGCATGCATATATTCTTATTTGCGGATGGAAAACCATGTACACGCAAGCAACCGGCCTGCGCTTGTTTAATTGTGCATCAGCAGCTGCACGTTTCTCAATTTCATCATCATTAGCACTAGCAAAAAAATCGGTTAAAGTACACCGTCCTGAAAACCGTGTTCCGTGTTATGCCTGTAACAACCGTGTACCAATCGTGTGCTGATCGCAAAATACACGGCTGCCGCTGGTACACGGTTGAAATCGTACAAAATAGTGCTGCTTATCGTGTCTTCCATGGTGGTACGGTGGGCCATTTTCGCGTACTATACAGGGCTGAAAACTGCACTGTTTTTAGCAACGAGTCATATCGTGCTCTAAAGTACCCGATTTTCATAGGATTTTAACACGATTTCATACGACTGTACACTGTGTAAAGTGGTCGAATTTTCACCAGTGTAATGCAAAATATAACAAAGTGTAGTCATATATACCAGCCGTTTGTGAGTTTAGCTGGCACTGTGACGGAAATAGTATCAAGTACAAGCTCATCGAACAACAGCCCTTAGAGGAAGCGTTCCAGTACAATCGCTCTGTTGCATTGCTCGTGCACGTCACTGCACTGACATGTTGTTCGTTGTGATTGGATTGACGGACAATGGAATGGCATTGTAAAGCACTTTCTTCTGAGCGCCGCCGACCATTGAGATGCGGCAAAATGGGCAGCCTTACGGCGATCTGGATGGCTGCATGGCGACACGGAATCAGGGATAGTCTGATCCAAATGGAAATGCTGGGGAGCGCAGCTCTCATGATTCTTAGAAGCCAGGGCTAGCTCGCCCAGAGATCCATTGTAGTATCCATCGGAGAATATCAAGAATTCAAACGGCTGCGCACTGGGAAAATGTAGTGACAGGGAAGACCAAGGGCGCCAGGCGGAATTTGATGTGCTCTGTGAAATCCGGTGGTCTGCACACGGAATGCGGGATGAAGATTCCCTGCAGCCAACAGTTGGCAGCTGCTGTGCGTCGACATGTGGCCGCACTTCGGGGACGGCACGTCGAGACCGTACTGAGCACCTGTATTCAGT